ATATTAAAGTAATAACAAACAGTAATGAATGAAATATTAAAGTATTGTTTTGTGTATTCGTATCTAATAAATCTCCATATAACATCGGCATTTATATTTTTTATTTATATTGTTGTGAAATTCGTGTTATTCGTCCAACTTTACACAGAGCCGACAATAAGCCGGTCCTACCTGAAAAAGGAAGCTTACACTTGCCTTTTTAAAAATAATTTCACTCCAAACAAGTTAATTATGCAACTAAGACGGAAGGGATTACTGGGAGTGACAAAGAATGAGAAATCTTTAGAATTAACCGGACACCCAATTCAAGGGATACACCTCTACTCCTGTTCAACAGACCAGAGAGGAGTGTAAACCCGACGATAGACAAATGTATCTACTATTGTTATTATTATCATCATTATTTTTATTCGGTCTCCACCCACACAATAGTAAAAGTGGCGTCACAATGAAAAATAAGAGTGAAAGTCTTCTAAATATACAAGCAAAAATGTCAAGATTCTTATGGGGGTAAACTTAAAATTTAACCCACAGCCACAAAAAAAAAAAATTAATAAATGTAATTTTTCATCATGGCCGAGTTGACAATAAATTTTCAATTCTTCTATCCCTGCTTAACAGAGGGGCGAGGGGTGTGAACAAGATGATAATATTAATAAATACTTGTATTGCCTTAGTTCTAAGTGCGATAGTAATAGTTTCTTATCTTGTTTTGGTACTTAGAGTGATTGTAATAGATTCTTGTCTTTTCTTGGTATTTAGAGACATTATAATAGATTCTTGTCTTTTCTTGGTATTTAGAGACATTATAATAGATTCTTGTCTTTTCTTGGTACTTCGAGAGATTGCAATAGATTCTTTATCAGTGGTCTTTAGAGCGATTGTAATAGATTCTTGTCTTTTTTTGGTACTTACAGAGATTGTAATAGATTCTTGTCTTTTCTTGGTATTTACAGAGATTGTAATAGATTCTTGTCTTTTCTTGGTATTTAGAGAGATTGCAATAGATTCTTTTCCCGTGGTCTTTAGAGCGATTGTAATAGATTCATGTCTTTTCTTGGTACTTACAGAGATTGTAATAGATTCTTGTCTTTTCTTGGTACTTACAGAGATTGTAATAGATTCTTGTCTTTTCTTGGTATTTAGAGAGATTTTAATAGATTTTTTTCGTGGTTTTTAGAGCGATTGTAATAGATTCTTGTCTTTTCTTGGTACTTACAGACATTGTAATAGATTCTTGTCTTTTCTTGGTATTTAGAGAGATTTTAATAGATTCTTTATCAGTGGTCTTTAGAGCGATTGTAATAGATTCTTGTCTTTTCTTGGTACTTACAGACATTGTAATAGATTCTTGTCTTTTCTTGGTACTTACAGAGAATGTAATAGATTCTTGTCTTTTCTTGGTATTTAGAGAGATTGTAATAGATTCTTGTCTTTTCTTGGTATTTAGAGAGATTGCAATAGATTCTTTTCCCGTGGTCTTTAGAGCGATTGTAATAGATTCTTGTCTTTTCTTGGTACTTACAGAGACAGTAATACATTCTTGTCTTTTCTTGGTACTTACAGAGATAGTAATAGATTCTTGTCTTTTCTTGGTACTTACAGAGATTGCAATAGATTCTTGTCTTTTCCTGGTATTTAGAGAGGTTGTAATAGATTCTTTTTCCGTGGTCTTTAGAGCGATTGTAATAGATTCTTGTCTTTTCTTGGTATTTAGAGCGATTGCAATATTTTCGCGTCCTTCCTTGGTATTTACAGCGATTATAATAATTCCTTCTCTTTTCATGGAATTTAGGCCCATTGTAATAGTGTTTTGTTTTTTCTTGGTACTTTTTTGCGCTTGTAATAATTTCTCGTCTTTCTTGATACTTAGAACGGTTGTAATATTTATTACACTTTTCTTGTTATTTAGAGCGATTTAATAGGTTTTGTCGTTTTTTTTTCTTTTTTTGGTATTTGGTGTGATTTTCATATTTTCTTGTCTTTTCTTGGTACTTAGAGCGATTGTAATATTTTCTTGGTACTTAGAGCGATTGTAATATTTTCTTGTCTTTTTTTGGTGCTAAGAGAGATTTCGCTAAATTTTAACATGAATCAGGAAAGTAATTAAAATTTAAGCTCTGTTACTTCTTTAATGTAATTCAAACTATGCATCACTTGAATACTGACAATGCTTCCCCCATAGAAATTAACAAAATAATAAATAGCCTGTTCAGTCAGGCTGTAGTTAATATAATTGGAAATTTAAAATTCTTTACTAATATGTACCCAATACAAAGTCCAAGGGCCACTGAAGGTTGAGAGTGGCTGGACGGATTCGTGTTTAAGAAAGTGCGAGATAACAGGAAAGATATGCAGCTAATTCTATATTTGAAGAGGTCAAGATTTAATTAGCGAATAAAATTTAAGAGTTCAGGCGGGGACGTCCGGAGTGGAATAGATGTTAGAACCGACCGGGAACCTAATCTTAAACAAGAAAAAAGGATGAACTTTTATTCCCGTTCGAAATACCGGGGAGGAGTGTGAACCGAATGATAAGCAAATCTATCTACTTCTATTGAAATATATAAACCGTAAATTTTGTCATCCAGTTTTGTACTTGTGAAGCAAGTGATTCAGAGTGGTTTGCGTCTGTTACAAAGGAAAATAAGTTCCTTACATCAACACACGACAAGTATCATCGGCATGTTTGTTCCTTGAAAATTGCATGAATCTCCCCTCTTCACGGTGGATTATTCCAACAGTTTGTTCTGAAACGCTGTTTTTTTTACAGCTTAGCATGGTTCGACCAATAGCAAGTCATGTGCTTATTTGTCGCATGGGGTAACGGAGAACAGAATCGAAGAACGCTAATTGGTTAGTCAGCCGTGGTGTTGATATGATAAAAGTAGGCTTCAGTGAGAAGGGAGTTTTTTTTTTTTTTTTACGTTGCTGGCGTGTGCTGAACTCAAGAACGGCGGATTGAACAAGAGGCATTTTTTATTGTACGAATGACGTCAGAGGAATAGAAACTCATTTAACTACAGGACGGATTTTATGTACATCCCTGTTTTTATATCATTCTAAGTTTCCGTCTCTTTTCTAACCCAATCCACTACCCACAGTCACTCGTTTGCTTTGTAACTACCAATAAGAGTTACTGTCTTAACGTGAATGGTGGTGACATTATAGTCAACCAATGATACGTCTTCGAAGTAATGTAATTGTTTAATTTTGCGACTAAACACACACCTTAAAATATGAGTTTATTTTATTTTACATTATTTCCATATATTTTTGTTAACCAGCTCACCCCAAGCAAGGCCATAATGTCACTAGGAAGCAATCGGCGATTTAGAATGAAAGAGAATGAAAAGACTTTAGTAATAACCAAAAACCCAATCCTAAAGAGTAAACAAAGGATAAATTCCTACTCCTGTTCAAAAGACAGGGGAGGAGTATGAACCGGACGATAGGTGAACCTATATGGTCCTTATGTTTTTTTTTTATTATTCAGATGATTATATATGGAATATCTTTAATCAGTTGTTGGCTAAAGCTTAAGATTTTTAATGTTACCTGAGTCCAGCACCCAGAATTTTAAACCCTCTCTTTGCATCCATTTTTCAGAGTCCAAAGTAAATTCCTTTTTAGTAATCTTCGCCTACTTTGGATAAAAGGCAAAGAATATAGAGCACTCAGTGGCAATGTTGAAACAAACAAGAAATGTGAGCCGAGCGCCCATCTTAAAATTTAGTTCTTTAACCGGAAAGTATAACCATGTGAATCGACTTATTATTTTTTTTTTCCTGTCAAACGCATGCGCGGATCTAACGACTGTAAAAAATGATGAGTCAGAGAAGTGGCTACGTAATCGTGGGTGAGAATTATTCATATATTTGTGTACAGTCTCAACTAAAAAAAAAAAAGGTTTTAGGAACGCCGTCAGACAAGAAGAGTCAATGACGTTCATGTGTGTGTTTCTGATTTTGATGTTATGTTCTTAAGTATATTTTATCCATCGAGAAATCATACTTCCCGCTCTTTCACCAAGAATTATTCCAGCATTCTCTCACCGGTTTTGTTTGCTTTTGCTTATTAGGTTATTTTATCTTATTTTTTGTTCGAAGATGTCTCATGTTTACAAGGATTTTCGTATTTTTTTTTTATTATTTTTCATGCGACATCGTCATTTCCTTTCTGCCTTTCTTCGCAAGAACATCGCTTACTTTAGAGTTGTCACTCGACAGTCAACAAGAGTTCTTTTCTTTCATGGAAGATACGGGTAAAACGGTTTCTTCAATCGCCTTTTCCTGACATTTAATACCTTCAATAAATCGTCATGAATACATATGAATAAAATGAGACAGATAGATACAGAGATACATATGAATAAACTGACATATATATATATATATATATATATATATATATATATATATATAGAGAGAGAGAGAGAGAGAGAGAGAGAAAACTTGAATAGAGTGAGCTATCTATCTATCTATCTACATTTCTCTCTCTCTCTCTCTCTCTCTCTCTCTCTATATATATATATATATATATATATATATGAAAAGATTGAGATTGATACAGCGATATAAATATATTGAAAGAGATATGAATGAACTGAGATAGATAAGTATGAATACAGAGAAATCGATAGATATTTACATAGGTATGAATAACCTGACTTAGATAGATAGATATGAACAGATAGAAATCGATAGATATATATGAATAGATTAATTTAAATAGATACGCATGAATGGTCTGACTTAGATATGAATATACAGAAATCGATAGATAGATATGAATAGATTAACTTACATAATTAGGTATGAATAGTCTGACACACACACAGACACACACACAAATATATATATATATATAGATAGATAGATAGATAGATAGATAGATAGATAGATAGATAGAAATTGATAGATATGAATAGATTAATTTACATAGGTAGGTTTGAAGAGTTTAACTTACTTAGATAGATAGATAGATAGATAGATAGATAGATAGAAATTGATAGATATAAATAGATAGATAGATAGATAGATAGATAGATAGATAGATAGATATGAATAGACTTAGAGATATAGCTGTCTATAATTTTTAATTGATTCTGAGAGTTTATCATTTGTATTGTTCGGATAGTTGTCCTCATTATTTTTTTGGTCTCTTGTAGACTCCGGCATTCTTCAAGTGATTGGAATTTCGAACTGAACCTTCTATTTCGCCCATCTATGTAGATTTTTCTAGTTCCACGTCCCATGTCTCAGTTCTCACCCTTTAAATCAACTGTCTAATTTTTTGCCAGCTATTAAACACACAGCTAACTCTTTTTTTCCACTGGACCATGTGGCCTTGAGGACATCAGTGTATGAATTTTTGGGACTTATAAAGTTAATATCACTATAACATTTTTTACCAGAACTCATACTGTAATTTTGTTGTTATTATTGCTTTTCTCTAACACTCCGTATTACTGATTCCCATATCGTATTCATTTCTATACTTGGCCTGCTTAGGAGATTTTGTGGTTTAGCATATGTGCTGATTCCTTAAATTTTCATATTTTCCAATGACGCTCTCTGTATATTATTTCAACCTCATCCCACAGGAGGCGGTGATCTCCCTTTTCCTTCTCTATGTGATCAGCTACGCATGATGTTTCTATTTTCCCTCGTGTTACGGCTTTACGATGATCTTCAGCCTGTTTCTCCTTTATATTTCTTACAACGGCTGCACGGGATGGCGTATACACAGTTCTTAATCATATTCTCCTCTATGGGAAGATCTCGCTCGGAAGAGGTGTCTGCGAAGTGTCGAACTATTTGATGTTATATGAACCACAGATCTTTTGTATTTTCTCCGTTAATCCCTTTACATAAAGTCGGCAGACTGAAGCTGTTCTTTGAATGTTTTCATCCTCTTTTGCTCTTCTATACCACTTTCTCGGAGCTGCTGGCATCTACCCAGGATAGTTGATAAGTTGTAGAGTACTGCTTATACTGACGATTTCTTCTTCATATATCTCTGGATCGCTATTTATGACTTTTACTAGATTTTGTAAGGGAACAAACTGTTTCTTTACATTGTATGGGTGGTGGTAGATGAAGTTAAAGTATTAACCGGTGAATGTTGGCTTGCGTTATACGGAAGTTTTGCACTCATGGTCTGTTCGAGATATAAGCACATTCCTGGATATAAATAGATTGAAATCGATAGATATGAATATACTGCGATAGAAAGAAAATTATGTAAGGAGTGAGATCGATCGATAGATAGATAAATAGATATACATATGCCTAAATACATAGATAGATAGATATGAACAGACTGAGATAGATAGATAGATAGATAGATAGATAGATAGATAGTTAGATAGATAGATAGATAGATAGATAGATAGATAGATAGATATGAACAGACTAGGTTCGATAGATAGATAAGAATATATATATATATATATATATATATAATAAAAAGGCTTAAACACTAATATTCCATGGTCATAATTTATTCCATTGGAATCGTATGTATGTATATTTACCACTAATATTATCTATCTATCTATCTATCATCTATCTATATATATATATATATATATATATATATATATATGAACTGAGATCAATAGATTGATATAGACTGGGATAGATATGAATAGACATAGATGTATAAATATGAATATACATATATATATATATATATATATATATATATATATATATATATATATATATATATATATACATTTATGCATAGATAGATATTCATATTCATATATCCACTGAGAGAGCTAGATAAAGATAAATAGACTGAGATAGATAGATAGATAGATAGATAGATAGATAGATAGATAGATAGATAGATAGATATAAAAGGACATAGATTGATCGACATGAATAGACTGATAGTGAGCTTTTGCCTGTTGTATATAAACGAGGAATGTTCAGTGTACATGTAACTTTTCATTAGACTTCTGTTTACAGCACATTTCCTTTCCCCACGAAAAAAATAAAGTAACGAGGAAAAAAAAATCAAAAATCTGGAAAAGGTGACAAGACAGATACCGTCGAATGAAAAATATATATTTATTCTAATTCCAAAAAGAGGACATGTAAAATGGCGCAAATGTCACTGAGACAAAATCAACATAAAAACGAAAATAAACTTCTTAAGAATAAAAAAATATAACCTGTCGAATAGACAACCTAGAAAAATATCTTCCCTCAGCAAAAAAAAAAAAAAAAAATGTTTAAAGATATAAATTTACTGGACATAACAGATTAAAAGCGAAGGTGTGCTTGTCAAGAACTTAGGGAGAGTAAGGTGTTAAAGAAAAGTAAGGGAGAGTATCGATGACTTGGTGTGAATCACTTGTAGACATGCGCAGAGGGATCAAAGAATGTTATCATTTAGGAAGCAGTGGTTACGTTTGACACAAGGCTATGTAACAAAGCAAACTGAAATATTTTTTATTTTTATTTTTATGTGAATGTTATACAGATACAAATCCCTGAAAATATATGACCCTTTGCGTATTCACGCGCACGGAGAGACAGACAAAATATATCGGCAATATATCACGTTTGCATGACAACACATGCATTTAAACCACAAATTTAAAAATATTTCCAAAGATTTTTCTGACAATAACTGAAGCGTATCGAAATCTCTAATCTTTAACAAGAATTAATACAAACTATTTTCATTTCATTGGTGTCTTTAGCCAAAGGTTGCCGAAGCTAATCTGGAAAAACTGAAAACATATAAGAATTATTACAGATCTACTCTCTCTTTTGTCTGTAGCAAAATTAGTTATATACGTATACACATATACATATATACAATAATAATAGTCGTGTGTTCGGGGAACATGTGGCTACTAGGACGTAAGAAAATACTGGTTGCAGACTTCTGCTCAGGCATATCTGTCTTTCTTCAACGCTCACAGAACCAACCTATGGTTTATACCGCAGATACACTGAGCGCGTAATCTGGCATGATCATCATTTTGAACAAGACGAGTTCACTGAAAACCTCAGTCACGATGACTTTGTAACATTGAGCTAGCAAAAAGATCGACTGCTTCCGAACAGTTCCGTCTACGGAATTTCACCTTGAGCGAATCCGTGGTATGTTTTCAGGCATTTTTTCAAAGGTGACACTCATAGGTAAGCCTCGCCAGGCCCAGAACATCAAGAAGTCGACTTTGGGACAAATCGACATGGTGAGATTATTCGATCTCGGATCAAAATGCACAAATATAAATATATACAGCAGAATGTACACATAGGAACGCACAGGCGCGCACACACACACACACACGCATATATATATATATATATATATATATATATATATATATATATATATATATATATTAAAATTAATTTATTTAAAATATGTTTTTTCCGCTACACAGTTCTAACCATGTGTCAAAAATAGAAGCTAAAGCCCCGAATTTAATTTTGCAATTAAATTAAAGACATTAGTTCCATTTCATCCTCAAGCGAATTTTGGAGTAACTTTTAAAAATTACTGGGTTTTAATGACACAGCTAAAATCAATGTGCGTGCGTGTGTGTATGTGTATGTATATATATATATATATATATATATATATATATATATATATATATATATATATAAATTTGAAATTCATAGGGTTAATTCCAAGCATGATATTAATCCATCTCACCAAGGGAATAGAAACTCGAATTTTCGCCAGAATTAAAGTGGTTACGCGTGTCTTAGTCGTGAAGTTTAGAACTGGTGGAACTTTGGAATGTCGTTCGTCCGAACATTTTCCACGGCAATAGCGATAGAGCAGCTAGAGGCTTGTGACGCTTCATATTTGGAAAAGGGGATTGGAGGGTAAAAAATAATTCATCACCCACAAGGACGCGGGACACTTTTGGATTCTATCAAAAGTGAAAAATGACAATTCACCAACTCCTGTCCATATATGACAGTACTAACTGATTTTCGACTTGATCAGGACCTTGTAAAGGTACAGGATGGCAGGTGGAATCAGGGACTTACTGGAGCCGTACAGAGAACCGACCATTTTTCCAGCATCTTTTGCGTTTAGATGGCATGAATGAGTTCCAATAGTCGTTCAAAACAAGGGTCCCTCCCTAAAACAACAACCGTACATTCAAGTTCTCTATGGTGATAATGTAACGACGGTAGGAAGCGTCTAGTTACCCAACCCCTACTGAGCTGTTAGAGCTCGGTCGGAGCAGAGATCAGCTGACAGGCTCTGGCCATCGAGAGTTTTGGAGGTAATTCATGATTTATCGATATGAATAAACCCGAATAGATTTGTAAAATGTCCAAGAATTAAAAAATTGGAAAACTTTAATAAAACGCTAAACAGACAGATTTTGTCTGTTGAATTGAACACAAATATAAATATATACAGCAGAATGTACACACAGGAACGCACAGGCGCGCGCGCACACACACACACACGCATATATATATATATATATATACAATTTGTGATTGGTAGGGGTAATTCCATGAAGGATAGTAATCAAGGGAGAACTCAATGTGAACTACAGAGCATAATAATAATAATAATTAAGAAGAAACATTAAAGATTCATTTCGGTTTATAATTTATTTCCTGAATATCTATATATTCATCTCTTCAGACCGAAGTCTTTTAATAAAAGGACCCATTTACTAAGAGATTTTGGTCTGAGGAGATGAACATTTAGTTATTCACGAAATAAATTATAACCGAAATGAATCTTTAAAGTTTTTTCTTGATTATATATATATATATATATATTTATTAAAGACATTTTTATGTTTAACGTTGTTTTTTATAGATACAAGTATTTAAGCAAATGCTCTGTTTATGATAAACAGTATTAATTAACATTTACCGGCCTGAATGTCCGAGAAATTTTCATAGAAAATATTCGTCCTTTGACAGGATTCGAACCTGCATCCTATACGGAACCGTCATTTACGCTGACGTGCCTTATCCGATCGGCCACAAATTTTAAGAGCAGTAAATTCGACCTTGTCTACGGAACTCTCCTTTGTGGCCGATCGCATAAGGCACGTCAGCGTAAATGACGGTTCCGTATAGGATGCAGGTTCGAATCCTGTCAAAGAACGAATATTTTCTATGAAAATTTCTCGGACATTCAGGCCGGTAAATGTTATTTAATACTTATTATTTAATCAGTCACTTGATGTTAAATTGAAATGCACCAAGGGAGACCCCTTAACAAAAAAAGGGACTGATTAGACAGTTTAACAGATTCATTATAAAAATAAATAAACATCGTTTATCTATATTATTCAATTAAACCTGTTTGAATGAACATATACTGTCTAAATACACATACACCCATGCACGCACACACACACACATATAATTTCGTACATTTAAAAAAAAATATTTATCTATATTTGTGTGATAAAAGTGAGAATAGTTAAAATAGGCAGCAATCAACACTGCATATTGATTGCAAGTTTCAGTTTATTGTATTGAATTCTATGTCTACAAGAGCCAAAAACTTCAATATAATCATTAAGATTATTTTTATTTATTATTTTCATAATTATATTGAAGATTTTGGTTCTTGTTTTTGAAACATGAGAACTCTTATGTAGCGAAGGAATCATATTTTTTTAAAAGCAATTATAAATATAATATTATATATATATATATATATATATATATATATATATAGTCATCCACAGGCAAACTATTTCGCTGTATCACAGCTCATCAGATATCCGATTGTTTAAAGCCAGGATCGAAACCCGACCGATTTGGCATCAAATATTCTATCCCTAAGCTATCGTCGCACGGCAGAGAGAAATGAATATTTTAACATTTTTACTATAAGAAAGACGTCAGTGTCTAGGAGAACTCAATTGTAGTTGAAGATCATATGTAGTGACTCTGAGGATCTCATCAGTAGGGAGTCCAACCGAAAGACGTTAATTCCAGCAAAATTCGACCGGCGAACAGCTAAATCTTCATATAGGATTGAATGATGGGCGTTATATCCAGGCTTGACTATGACATGCTATTATATTCGGCGATGATATTCAACATCCGCAACATGTAACGATATTGTATTTTTTATTCAAATGCCAAATTTTATCTTACATATTGTTGCAAGTCTAAGTTTAGCTAGTGTTCCTTTCACAACCATTTACGGAGCACTTAGCCGCGTTACTTAAAACGTTTACTTCACTACTTATATTAATGGAGAATTAGTTTTAGTTCTTTTTAATCAATTCACTCCCAAGCAAGGCTACAAGACCACTAAGACCCAAGGGACTACAGGAAGTGAAAGAGAATGGGAGGACTTTAGAAGGAACCCAATCTTAAACAGGAAACAAGGGATAAACCTCTACTCCTGTTCAAAAACGGGGAAGGACTGTGAAGCGGGTGATAGTCGAACTTGGCAAGGATATACACCCTTGTGCAAATCAATTGAAGCAACCGCTTTAGTTTCCTTTCTTTCACCATACGGCCAGTTTTAGACCCACTGGAGTGACAGTGCGTAATCGATTTCTATTTTTTCCTCGGATTTGGTCATTTGTAGTAGTGCGCAGTAATATGAACCTATTTTAGAGGAAATTTTTGATGAAATTTGTTTGGCCTTGAAAAATATTGCATCATTCGTGATGGCATTACTTTTTATCACGCACTGACACTATTGTCTCGACTGTCGATTAGTTGTCCTATGGTCATTATCTGTGATGGACGTTACTACAAGGAAGCGTACAAAAATTGCAACGCTGCACGAACACTGGCAAGCCTTACCAGAGAGCAAATCAAAGTAATATAGACTGACCCGGAAACTCTCCTGATTTAAATCCAATCGAGAATCTGTGGACAATCTGCAAGGAACGACTTCGTGGAATGGACATACGAAGTATTAACATGTGCACTGGGTCATGTTTCATTGGAAAAATACGAAAAAAAGAAAAGAAATAATAACGGAATTATTCGTTTTATTTCAATTAATTTGCACAATGGTGTAAACGACAGATGGCTATAATATGATACTGTTGATTATTTATGTCTATTGTTTGCGTCATTTTGTAATAACTGTAAGTAAAATGATGCACTAAAATAAGTTAACAATTAATCGTTTTACGTTCTTCAAATGTTGCTTTCGTTGAGAAAAACACAGACATATCTTAAATATGATACTGACAGAAATATTGAGCCATACAAAAAAATTCAAAAAATTAAATAAGTGGGGAGAAAAGGTGTAAAAAAAAATTATGAAGATTTAAAAAAGAAACATTTTTAAAAATAAAAATGATTTAATTTAAAGTTTCATTAAATTCCGACAATTACCTGACGCTCAAATTCCCCATAGAAATTTATGGTTAACAACAGAAAAACAAGATTTTAACCAAAAATTCGGTTTCGTTTGGTATGATTTATTTTACGGCATATCAACCTGAAAGATAGATAGATAGATAGATAGATAGATAGATAGATAGATAGATAGATCATGGTTTGGTTTGGTTTGGTTTGGCTTGGTTTATTTTACGGTATATCAACCTCAATAGGTTATTTAATGCCGACAAGATTTATATTGCAGATGATATTTTTTCAAAAATTTATTCCTATTAATATTTTTTTCCAAAAATATATTGCTGAAAATAATTTTTTGGAAACAAATTATTGCTGGTAATAATTTTTTGCAAAAATGTATTGTTGGTATTAAAACATAGTTTTGCACTTTCATAGTGTTTTGATCTCAGTTTGGGGGGTTAACTATTTGCCCATAGCTGGGACCCTAACAGGTGCTTCTTTCCGGGTCAGGGTGGACCTAGGAACACCAGCAATTAAGATGTGGTTCCACGCTCCTCAAATCCTCTTGATCAGACGCCTTGCCGATGGACGTAGTTTATCGTCTTACCCAGGACGTCCAAAAATTCGAAGACATTAGAAAATAATTTAGTGTGTGTGCGTGTGTGTGCGCGTGTGTGTGTGCATACGTGTGCAATTACTAGAAATTTTGAAGAATTAGATAATCTTTCTTTGCCATGACAATAACAGAACAATACGCGCTAAAACACGCAGACACACACAGACGAGAAAATCTATCTATCTATCTATCTATCTATCTATCTATCTATTGCAGTATACAAGTTAATAGAAAGACCGACTGAGAACTAATTGGAATGGGCTAATTTCAAAATCCAGCGGACATTAAGAAGATGATTAAAGAAGAAAAATATGTTTAAGGAAGAAGAAGAAGAAGAAGAAGAAGAATTAGTAGAAGAAGAAGAAGAAATTTAAGGAAGAAATAATAGTAGTAGTAGTAGTTGAAGATGACGAAGAAGAAGAAAAATAAGTTCCAGAAAGAAATAGTAGAAGAAGAAGTTTAAGGGAGTTTAGTAGTAGTAGGAGTAGTAGCAGTAGTAGTAGTAGTAGAAGAAGAAGAAGAAGAAGAAGAAAGAAGAAGAAGAAGAAGAAGAAGAAGAAGAAGAAGAAGAAGAAGTTCAAGGAAGAAATACTAGAAGGAGAATAAGAAGTTTAAGGAAAAAATAGTAGTAGTAGTAGTAGTAGTAGTAGTAGAATAAGAAGAAGAAGAAGAAGAAGAAGAAGAAGAAGAAGAAAGGAAGTATTAGTAGAAGAAGAAGAAATTTCAGGAAGAAATAGTATTAGTAGTAGTAGTAGAAGGAGAAGAAGAAGAAGAAGAAGAAGAAGAAGAAGAAGACTTTTAAGGAAGAAATAGTAGAAGAAGAAGTTTAAGGAAGAAGAAGAAGAAGAAGTTTAAGGAAGAAGAAAAAGCAGCAGAAGAAGAAGAAGCGGAAGAAGAAGAAGAAGAAGTTTATAGAAATAGTAGAGACGGTAAAAGAAGTTTAAGGAAGAAATAGTAGTAGTAGTAGTAGTAGAAGAAGAAGAAGAAGAAGAAGAAGAAGAAGACGGACAAGTTCAAGGGAGAAATAATAGAAGAAGAAGTTTAAAGAAGAATTAGAAGAAAAAAATTAAGGAAGAAATAGTAGTAGTAGTAGTAGTAGTAGTAGTAGTAGTAGAAGAAGAAGAAGAAGAAGAAGAAGAAGAAGAAGAAATTTAAGGAAGAAATAGTAGAAAAAGAAGAAGAAGACGAAGAAGAAGACGTTTAAGGAAGAAATAGTAGTAGTAGTAGTAGTAGAAGTAGAAGAAGAAGAAGAAGAAAAAGAAGAAGAAGAAGAAGAAGTTTAAGGAAGAATTAGTAGAAGATGACGAAATTTAAGGAAGTAGTATTAGTTGAAGAAGAAGGAAGAGAAGAAGAAGAAAGTTAAAGAAGAAGAAGAAGAAGATTCCAGCTGAAGAAGAAGAAGAAGGTTAAAGAAGAAGAAGAAGAACAAGAAAAAGAATTAGAAAATGATGTTCGATTAAGAATTAAGTATTCAGAGGAGTAAAGACTGAAATAATTGATGTTGCAATAAAGAATTAAAAAACAAAGAAACAAACAGAAAACGGAGAAGGAAATTACGTTTTTGTGGTTTTTATCATGTCAATTTTTGTTGGGTTATGTAAAGGTGAAATTTATACGGGGTACGCAAAGAGTATTGACCTCAGTAAAAATGATCTTGCAGACTAGCCTCTAACCATTACCCCACGCCAGTGAGGGTATCTAGTTAGAAAAGAAGAAAGAGAAGAAAATACGTAAGTTTGTTTAAAAAATAAAAAAAGAGAAGTGAGGTAGTGGGAATTGAAAGTAAAAAAAAAAATGGAAGCGAAAAAAAATCTTTATTCTCGAAACAGACTCCCCGACTGTAGGCAGAAAAAAAACTCATCGCTGTTCGTCAGTACAAATTCTGTTGCAAGACTAATGTCACGTTGTAAGACGTTGATGTAACAGACGGTGTCATCCGGTGCAGACTAATGTCATTAAATAATGACAACGTCGGAAGGACATGGGGGTTGAGATAACAACGACAATGAAGATGAACAAGAGGCGGTATCGCAAACAATCGTTTCGCACATGCGCAGACGGATGGTGTTGGAGGCGAAGAGCAGAAGAATGAGACATTCATTTAAACGCGTGAAAGAAGAGGCGAAAAGCAATGAATGAAACTGTATCAAGACGCGAGGGTGAGAAGGAAAGTTGGAAATTTTAAAAAATTACGATGTTTTTATCAGAGTGAATATGAGTGGGTGTTAGAAGAGGAAGAAAATGGTGATGATAATGATTATAACGATATCGCTAACAGTGATTTTCTAAGCGTAGCTTTGATGTGGCACAAGGCCGAAAGTTTGGAGCACCCAATAAGGATCAAAATGGCTATTCATGCTTAATAGATCTAACGCGACAACCTGCTAGCCATTGCACCACGTCGAAGTGGCCAAATGATTTTCTAAGCGTATCCTTAGATGTGACACAAGGCCAAAAGTGTGGAGCACTCAATGAGGATTGAACTGGCTATTCAAACTTAAATTATCTAGTGCGACAAACTTACTAATCATTACACCACGTCGAAGAGTCCAAATTCACTAATGATTGTGGATTGATGCGACAACGAAGTTGAAAAAAAAAAAAAAACGAAGTGAAAAGGCTTTGATTGGTATTTGCTGAAAACAAAATTCAAGAATTTGTCGAAATGTTTTTCACTTCAAAAGCTGAGGAATTTTACACATAATGTGTCGAATATCTGTTCGGTGAGTGTCAACAAATCTTTGGAAATAATAGCGATTATATAATTGAAGAAAATGTAAAATCTATAAACTGATTTCTGATAAAGAATACATATTCTATTTAGAAGAACCTATCCTAAAAATCTTGTTGGCATTAAATAACCCATTGAGGTTGATATGCCGTAAAACAAAATAAACCCAAACCATGATCTATAAACTGATTTCTTCCAAAGAATACATATTCTATTTATAAGAACCTATCCTAAAAATCTAGCCGGCATTAAATAACCCATTGAGGTTGATATGCCGTAAAACAAATCACCCCAAATCAAAATAAAAATATTTATAGAAAAGACAGAGAGAGGTCATGTCATTTCGGTGGGCAAGTGACTGAAATCGAGATGCCAGATTTCAGACCCTTCTTTGGATTTTGTCAAGAATCTTGGGAATATATATTAGGAGCACTAAACCAATTATGGCGGCAATACTGAATGCATGACGAATGGTGGATTTATAAATGTGCAAATGATTTTTTTTTTCTTCTCAATTCCTTTTCAGGTATTTTAGGTCCTTATAATAATATGCCTTATAAATTAAAGGAACGAAATAGCAATTGCTAATTATCTTAAATTAATTATGTTTCTTTAAAGCAAATGTTACGTGCTTTTTGTCCTCAGTTAAATTTAAGATTCGTTTTTATTTTAGAAAAATGATCTCGAATTTAGAACGTTGTTTATTCTAATTAATATATTTATTTGTATTTATATATGCATTGATTATTATTTCTTTATGGGCACGTGGCCGAGTGGTTAGACCCGAGTTCGAATCTCACCATGGTCGATTTTTCTAGGAAGGTGACTTCCTGATTTTATCGGACTGGAGGGGTTAATCTTCAACGTTCTACCTTTGGAATGTGCCTGAAAACCATACCACGGGTTGACACTTGTGAGTGAAATTGGGTAAACGGAACCCTTGGAGGCCGTTGGCAGCTATTCTAGCACGAAGTCACAAGTCATCGTGGCCGAGGGCTTGAGCGTTGTTGGCCTTGTCCAAATTGTTGATCACGCTAGATAACACGCTCTTTCCCAGAGGCTGTAATTAAGGTCTGTTCAACTTAGTTGCAGTATAAACCACAGGTGGGCTCTGTGGGTGTTGAATAAACACAAATACGCCTGAGCAAGCGTCTGCAATAGAGATTAGCTATGTACATACATACATGATTATTATTTCTTTCAAATTTTTCCACAGTTAATGGGTTTTATGTACGAGTATTTTGTTATAACCTAGGGAAGGTTATTGAATAGAATAATCAAACGAAGGTTGGTAATGAACGATAATACTTAGGACAAGAACAACACATATAAGATTCTCCAGCGACGGGTAGAAGTAGTCTCTTGCTAGAAGTGAGTCGAGTGAATTCCACAATGAATCTCCAACTGCAGGATATCTACCAACCGCTCCACGCGGTCAGATGTGGCACATGGCCGAATTTAATCCTGGTTATCCGAGCCCGTAGACTCGGCCAAAAATTCTCGGTAGGCCCCGTATAAAGGGTAACTGTTACCAGAGACGAGACTCTACCTTTTGACATAGCCTTGTCTGGGGATCCATTTGAGCAGGACAGCTAGAGATGTATCTCCAACTGTAGACCAACATACAGTATTTACTACTGTATTTATGTGAATGGGGACATACCCATTATCGTCCGTAGGTATGTTAAAATATATTCGTTTTTGTATAAATAGCATGAAGATCGTTCGTCTTTACTTTCTGTTTTTGCTTAGCTGAAGTTATTTTTCTACTTTGCATTTCCTACTCCCATTATCAATTGATCGTTTAGGACTAAATCCTGTCAAAAATGGAGTTTACATTATTTCTAATGT